TGTGGGGGGTGCAGGCTGCCAGGCCCTGTCCCTGAGCCCTGCTCTCCGGGCAGGTTTATCTGCCAGGTGAACAAGGCTGCTGTCGCCATTCAGCGTTGGTACCGCCGCCAAGTGCAGCGGCGCCGAGCGGGAGCGGCCAGGCTGGAGCACCTGCTCGGGTCCAAGCGAGAGGTCAGTGTGGGTGCCTGAGCCGCACCAGGCTCCCCCCGAGGCTCCAGCCCAAGATCCCAGGGATCCGAGCCTTGTACAGGCAGAGTTTCTGGGACAAGCGGAATCGCCCCATAGGCACATACCCCATGAGGGACCCAGCGTCCTCTCTGACACTAGGTCCCCTCGATGGACAGGACGGTCCTCGTTGTGACTTTCACTAGGGCCTGAGTGTCAGGAAACACCTTCCAGGTCTGTCCCAGCTGAGGGGTTGCGGGAGGCCCTCTGAGCAGGCTCCTGGTGCCTGCACGAGGGGCCTTGTCTCTGCAGAGCTCTGGTGGGTCCCGCCTCCCCCACCTGCCCTGTGGACGCCGTGGGCTCCAGGGGGCTCCGGGTGTGGTGTGGAAACCTCCAGTCTGGGCCCAGGGACTCTGTCTTCTGGATTTATAACTCTCCATGGCTCTGGGCTCCCTGGCAGGAGCAGCGGCAGCGGCTGGGGGAGGGCACCTTCCTGGACCTGCACCTGCAGAAGGAGGCGGCGAGGAGGAAGGCCCGAGAGGAGAAGGCACGCCAGGCCAGGCGAGCGGCCATCCAGGTACCCAGGGGACCTGCGCGGCGACCACAGCCGCACTGTGGCCTGAGCCCGACGCTGAGTGCAGCTCTGCTGTCCGGGGGCCACCCAGGCCCCTGGACGTTGAGCCTCAGGGCAGCTTGGCTGGGGGAGCGGGAGGGGGCTGTCCTCCCCCAGGGACAGCGCTCAGAAGGGCTCCCACGGCAGGAGCTGCAGCAGAAACGAGCCCAGAAGTCAGGTACCACGGAGCTCGGGCTGCCCAGGGAGGCCTGTGTGCCAGGGACGCTGCGGCCTGCTCAGGACCTGCCCCCGACGCCAGGCAGCACCCACCTCCAGACCCTCAAGGCCAACAACGCTGGTGAGTGTGGCTCTTCTCCACCCTCTCTGGGGGCCTGGCCTGCCCCGCCCACCCCGTGCACACCCCTGCCCCCAGGGCCACCACCACCCCCGCAGGGTGAGCCGCATCCAGGAAGGAGGTGCGGTCTCTGCGGACATTCCCTCGGCTGCTGCCCGGCTTGGTGGCTTCCCCTCGGCCCTGCCGCAGACCCCCGGCAGCCCCTGCTCCTGCCCAGTTACCTGACGAGGGCACTGAGACCTTGATCAACAGACGGTCCAGGGTCCAGGACGCCCTTCGGGGCGGAAGACCCAGAGGTCTGGGCTGCACCCACCCCTCAGCCTCACACCCCAGGAGGCTGGGGCTCCGCAGACCTCTGCTCCGGGACATCCACGTCGGTTTCTTCCCAAGGGTAGCTCCAGGTTCACTGCCCTGGGGGATGCCCTGTGTTCTGCCTGCAGGTACCGCCTTCCGTGCTGAGGTCCCTGAGGAGCTCCACCCACCCACCTCCGACTGCCCCCCAGGGCCCCCGCGGTCTCCGGAGGACGGGCTGCAGGTCTGGGCACACCCACCCTTCCCTCCCTCTGGATCTCAGCTTCGAGGGGCGTGTCTGTGCCAAGGTGGCCTGAGCCTGCCTTTTTCTTGTTGCCTCCCCAGCTGTGGGGGTCACTCATGCCCCGAAAGGCTGCCCAGGAGGGGTCATGTTGCCCTGGTCCAAGGTGGTGGCCTGTGAGGGGCCCTTGCTCCAGTGGGGTCTCTGGATGTGCTCTGGAAACCCGTTAGGTTTTCACAGATGCCGGCAGTGGGGGCCGTGTCATCGTCCACAGTGGAGGGGCCGGGTGACAGCGGGCCCCAGTGGCACCAGGCTGCTCTGCCTGCCCGTTTTCCCAGAGGGGGGCCTTGGGACGAGTCCACGGTGGCTAGAGCTGCCCTGGGTGTGCCGGCCGAGGGTGCTGGCAGGAAGACTCTGGGGAAGGCTCCCTGGTCGGCCTCGGCGGGGGGGCGGCTCTCAGCCACCAGTGGCCTTGCCAGCTTCTCTCCCTGCCCTCTGACACAGGACACTCGCTCCCAGGACGTGGCCAAGGAGGACCCGGAGACGGTGGCCCCTGGCAGGGCCAGGCGCAGGGCGCCGCTGGACGAGCTGCTGCGCACACTGCAGCTGCTGGAGGAGGAGCCGGAGCCGCTATCCCACCCTGGGGCCCGACACAGGGGCAGATGCGCCTGGGCCAGCGAGGTGACTGCAGCCATGCGCCCTCCCCAGCCTGCCATGGGTGCATCCACACGGCGTTTGGGGTCCCTCTGGGGTCAGAGGGAATCACGGTGCCACCGGGCTCTGCACTTTAGTCGGGAACCTGACGAGGGGCAGTGGAGCATGCTGGCCCTGCTGGCCCCTCTGCCTGAGGCCAGGACACTCAGAATCACGTGGCAGGGACAGCACACTGTGTGGTGGGCCCCTCCTCTCTGCCAGCAGGGATACTGCTGCCCCGAGCGATACCCCACAAGCATCTGGGGCAGCCTGAGCGCCCTTCCTTCTAGAGCCAGGCCCCGGCCCTCCCCTGCTTCGGGGGACCCTGGGTCCTCGCGCTGCCCCGACAGCCCCCAATGCTGGACCCTGGTCCCACAGGAAGATGACGCCAGCTCTCTGACAGCCGACAACCTGGAGAAGTTCCGGAAACTCAGCACAGCCCCCAGCCCCCTGGAGGATGAGACGCTGCTCTCGGAGGCCAAGCTGCAGACCATCATGAGCTTCCTGGACGAGATGGAGACATCGGGGCAGGACCAGCCAGCCCCCCAGCAAGAGGTGGTCCTTCGCCTCGCCCCCTGCACCCTGCAGGAGGTGGTCCCTCGCCCTCCCTGCGGCCGTAGCCCCCTCCTGGCTTTCTGACATGGGATGGGCAGGGTCGGCTTGCCCTCACTGGGCCCCTCAGGTGGGCACCTGGAGCCTCTGAGCCGTGCCCTGGTGTCCCTGGGGCCATCAGCTGGCCATCCTGGGAAAATAGCAGTGGCCGGACTGAGCGCAGTGGTGATGTGGATTTTATCGTGGCGGGGGCAGGAGAGCTGGAAGTGAATATGACTTTTTAATGGTCTTTGATAACTTTTCTGACCACTGAGGCCGCTGGCCCTGCCCTTGTGCTGAGTGGCTGCCCCCACCTCGCCTCTGGGGCCCCGCGTGCACCGCTCCTCCCTCTGAGCAGGGGCCGGCAGTGGGGTGTCAGCTCACGTTGTTCGCCACCTCCCGGTCCTCTGACACTCAGCTGTGTCCACAGGGGCCGGTGCCGGAGGCGGGGCGGGGGCGCCCGGAGCCGGCATCCGAGGCGAGCACATCCATGATGCGGCTGAAGCTGGAGGTGGAGGAGAAGAGACAGGCCATGGCGTTGCTGCAGAGAGCCCTGGTAACGCTGGCACGTCGTCCCCACGGCCACCGGCTGGAGCACGGGTCCCGCCACAGCCTGCCCCGAGCAGCCCGGGCCTGCCAGTACCAGCCCTCCTGCTGCCCCCCACAGGCGCAGCAGCGAGACCTCACCGCCCGCAGGGTCAAGGAGACAGAGAAGGAGCTGAGCCGGCAGCTGCAGCGGCAGAAAACGCACTACGAGGCCACCATCCAGCGACATCTGGCCTTCATCGACCAGGTGACCTGCCCCTGGAGGGACGGGTCGGGCTCCAGACCCTGCACGTGTCTCGCAGAGACTTCTAGAACCAGGGAGCTGAGGCGCCAGCTACAGGGTGGCGCTAGTCCAAGGCCTGGGCAGTGCTGCACGTGCGTCCTGTCCTCGGACTGGCTCAGCACGGCAGGCAGCTGGCTACGGGGCAGTGAGCAGAGCACGCCCCAGTGGGGTCACCAGGGGAGCCGGTTGGCCCCGTGTGAGGTGTCCAAGCCCTTCTCGTGCCGTTCAGGGGCCGCCGTGCCCTGGGGAGGCCACTCCTGGTCCGCAGGGACTGCTGGGGTAGCCAGGGCTCCCCGAGTGAGAGTGGTGGGGGCGTCCAGCCCTCCCCTTGGCTCAGCCACACTCCCCTGGGTCCCTTTCTGGAGGGAGCACTGGCTCTGGGGTCTGAGGCAAGGCAGGGACCTCGGCTGCTGCGTAGTGGTCGTCATAGGTGCGTCCAAACCTGGGGCCCTCCCTGAGGCTGCTGTGGTCCTGACACCCCTTGGCAGGGCCCTCCAGGGCTGGGTGATGGGGAACGATGGTGTGACCCCCATCCCAGGAAGACCCTGACGTGGTCACTGCTGGGGGGCTGAGGCCATCATCCCCACTGGGCTCCTCTGACTCTCTGAGTCCTCCGCGTGGAGGACAGTGGTGGCTGCCGCCCCATGTCCACGTTTGCACAGACACCCTCCCACCCCCAGGGTCTGTCCACAGACCCAGGAGGGGATGGCCCTTGGGGAGGGGTGCTCTCCTGGGCTGGCCCTGGAGGCTGGAGGAGTCTCCCACAGCAGCGCAGCAACCTCCACTCCTGGCTCCCGTCGCAGCTGATTGAAGACAAGAAGGTCCTGAGCGAGAAGTGTGAGGCCGTGGTGGCCGAGCTGAAGCAGGAGGACCAGCGGTGCCGGGAGCGCGTGGCCCAGGCGCAGGAGCAGCACGAGCTGGTGAGCCCTGCTCCTCCTGCCTGACTCCCCAGGCCTGGTGGGCTCGCGGGCAGGGCAGGACCCAGGGTGCTAGGACCACAGGAGCAGGGTGAGCAGCAGAGTCCCGGGGTCACTGCAGCACTGAGCCCTATCACCCTCCCCTCCAGCTTCCCATCGCCAGACCCCGGGGTAGGGCCGTGGGACTAGTGTGAGCCCCTCCCCATGTCACAGCTGAGTTCACGTGGGACCCACCAGCCACAGCACCGTGGGTGTGAACCTGGGAGCCAAGCCCACCGGCCCCAGCTCCTGTCCTAGGGTGGCAGGATCGCTCTTTCTAGCTCATGTCAACTGAGTGCTGACCCCACCACGCTCCCACTGTGCCAGCAGCTGCTGACTAAGAGGCCAGTTCCATGGGCCTCAGCCTGCCTTGCGGCGCCTCCCCCAGCATGGGTGGCAATGGTCCCCAAGCCCAGACTCCGGAGTGGGGGTGGCCCCCATGATGGTAGCCGACAGCCAGAGTTGAGGACCGCCGGTCAGTGTGGACTCCGGGGCTGCCCTGGCGGGTTAGTGGGGCCTCTGCAAGCCAGTGCCTGCCCCCCGACTCCTCTAGCCCGGTCCCAGCCCTGGGCAGGGTGACTGGGGCTCCCGCAGCCCACACGTGCACCCAGAGGGCAGCGCCCGCCCGCTGTCTCAAGAACAGCCCTTCCCCTTCTGTGGGATGGGGCTGAGCACAGCACAGGCCTAGATCCATGCGGTGGCCAAGGGGCCGGGGAGGAGGGGGGCGTGTCCTTTGCGTTCACTTCCCAACCTGTTTTCTTGCTCGTAGGAGATTAAGAAGCTCAAAGAGCTAATGAGCGCCACTGAGAAAGTCCGCCGGGAGAAGTGGATCAGTGAGAAGACCAAGAAGATCAAGGAGATCACTGTGAGAGGTGGGCGTCCCGGGCTGTGGGGTTGGGCTGGTTGAGGGGAGCTGTGGCGGCCGGGGGAGGGGTGTCCTTTTGAGGCAGGACAGTGGCTTCAGTCACATGTGCAGCACGAGACCCTCCCGGGAAGAGGTAAACATTCTGTGCTCCGTCACGGCCCCCAGACTGGCCTGGCCCGGCTCCTGGCAGCCAGCCCACAGTGGCCTGAGCTCGGAGGGGTCGGCGGGTGGAGGCCACACTGTAGGAAGTGCGGGTGGCAGCGGCCGAGGCGCAGAGCTGGGGCTCCAGGGCTGACTTCCCCGGGAGCGGGGCCTGGGCTACAGCGCCAGCCTATGTCCCAGCGACCACCAGGCAAGCAGGGTCCTCGGGGCCTGAGACAGGGCAGTGTCGCTCCTGGGCTGGGCTTCCCAGGCTTCCCCTGGTGCAGCCGGTGCCCCTGCCCCAGGCCTGGAGCCCGAGATCCAGAAGCTGATCGCCAAGCACAAGCAGGAGGTGCGGAAGCTCAAGGGCCTGCACGAGGCAGAGCTGCTGCAGCTGGACGAGCGCGCCTCGCAGCGCTACCTGCGCCAGGCCGCGGAGCTGCGGGAGCAGCTGGAGCGCGAGAAGGAGGCACTGGGCCAGCAGGAGCGCGAGCGGGCCCGGCAGCGGTGGGTGGTGGCCTCCGAGCAGATGCGCGGGACCCTGGGCATGAAGCTGGGGGCATCCTCAAAGGCCGGGGTGGAAGTCACAGGTGGGGGGCCAAGGGGTCCAGGGCAGTGCACGGGGAGGGCACAGGAGACTGTGGCCCTGGAGCTCCTCAGTGGGGGCAGGCAGCCTGGGCACTCGCTGCAGGCACTGTCCACGTGAGCTCCGGGAGGGCAGGGCTGCACCTCCCCCCAGGCACCCGTAGTTCAGTGCCGCCCAAAGCTGCCAACCCTCGGGCAGGTGGCCTCAGGGTCCTTGCACCTCTGACCTTGGGGCCCCAGGACACACTCTCATTCGTTCCCTTGGCCCTGGGTCTAGGACAAGGCTGTGCCCCTGTCGCCCTCAGACCCTGGGATCTGGTGGCCAAGGACATGCCGGTGACAGTGTCCGCAGGCACTGACTCAGGGGGCAGGTGCCCTCACCCTGTTTCCTGCGGAGTGGCCAGTCCCCCTAGACGCAGCACGGCCAGACCCTCAGCCCTTCCCCCCAGGTAGCACAAGGACGGAGGCCCTGGTGGGAGCTTGCTCAGGTCCTGGGCGCCTAGCTCCGTCACGAGCCATTTCACAAGGCACCACGAGGGCCCGTGGCTTAAGGAATCATGGGGGCCAGCTAGTGGGTGAGGTCCCCATGGCCTCCCAGCCCACCCCTGGGCAGCAGCTGTGATGGGCACTGAGAGCCTGGGGGCGCTCCGCTCTAGGGGGTGGGGAGGGCTGTGCCAGGCCTGTGGCTGGCCGGCGCCTCTGTGGCATGAGCATCCTGGGGCCACCCGGCCCTGCCCACCTGCAGGTTCGAGCAGCACCTGGAGCAGGAGCAGTGGGCCCTGCAGCAGCAGCGGCAGCGGCTGTATAGCGAGGTAGCTGCCGAGAGGGAGCAGCTGGAGCAGCAGGCTGCCAGGTACTGCTGGGGGCTTGCCAAGCCTCCCACTGACCTCTCCTGCCCCCGACCCTGCCTGCTGACCCCTCGCTGGCCCACAGGCAGCGGGCCGAGCTGGAGGAGTTGCGGCAACAGCTGGAGGACAGCAGCTCGGCACTGACTCGGGCCCTGCGGGCCGAGTTCGAGAAGGGCCGGGAGGAGCAGGAGCGCCGGCACCAGGTCTGTGCCCCGCGAGCCTGAGTGGTGGCTGGCGGGGTGGGGCTCCCGGGCCCGCTCTCACGCCTGCCGTCCCCAGGAGGAGCTGAAGGCCCTGAAGGAGCAGCTGGAGCTGGAGAGGCAGGCGTGGGCAGCCGGCTGCGCCAGGAAGGAGGTGGGCTGGGGCCCGGGCAGTGGGCGGGGGGCCCGGCGTGGCCTCACCTCTGGGTGTCCCGTGCGGCTGCTCAGGGGCGTGGTGGCGGTATTCTGAGCTGACACCGTGCGTGCTGCTCTTCACCCATCTTTTGCGTGAGCTCTGGAAGGGTGAGGGCCGGGCGGATCCCATGTGGTGGCAGAACACGTGTCGACCCTGCCTTGCCCGGTGGCTGCCATGCCTGGGGTCACAACTCCCGACGGCTCTCCCACGTGTGCGAAGGCACACCTGGGACAGTCTTCTGGGGCCTCAGTCTTCTGGGGCCTCCCGCGCGTGGACTGCACCGCTAGTGTCTCCTGGGGGCGCACGGCCCACACGCGCTCCGTCCTCCCGCGCCGGCCACCAGGCGGTTGTCCAGGCTGCCCATGCCTGTGGCCGGGTTTCACCTGCACCGTGGCCGCTGCCCCAGTGGAGGAGGATCCCAGATACGGGCTTGCGGGACAGAGGGCTGGACACGAAACTCGATGGACTCTCCAGACTTCCAAGAGGCTGCCCGTACCCTCTGACTGCCGGGCATGGGGGCTGCCCAGGCCCTGCCCTCAGCAGCTGGGCGAGCCGTTCCTTCTCCTCAGCCTGTCTGGGGCGGGTGGTGGCAACTGGCCATCTTGGGCCACGGGCCTGAGGGAGGGGAATGTTGGGCTGTGCAAAGGGTCTCCTTGGCGGGGGCCACCTTGTCTAGCACTCACCTCCTGTGCCCATGCTAGGTCCTCAGGCCAGGCGCAGGCCAAGGCCTCTTGGCCCCACGCGGCTCAGAGCCTGGGACCCGCCAGGAGCCCATGAGGCTGGCCCCGGCCCACTCTCGCCTGCCGCCTAACTCGCGGGCTCCGCCAGCCCGGTGGCAATCCCTCAGCCAGCCGCATGTCCCTCCAGGAGGCGTGGCTGCTGAACCGGGAACAGGAGCTTAAGGAAGAAATCCGGAAAGGCCGGGATAAGGAGATTGAGCTGGTCATTCACCGGCTGGAGGCCGACGTGACGCTGGCCAAGGAGGAGAGTGAGCGAGCCGCTGAGAGCCGGTGAGGCCCCGCGAGAGCAGGGCGCCTTGGAGTCCGTGGACGGGGCGGGCCGGGACCTGTGTGTGTCCAGGCCGCCTGCCCACGCTGCCCCTCCCTGCCCCAGCATCAGGCGCATACGGGACAAGTACGAGGCCGAGCTCTCCGAACTGGAGCAGTCGGAGCGGAAGCTTCAGGAACGGTGTACGGAGCTGAAGGGCCGGCTCGGGGAGGCCGAGGGGGAGAGCGTGCGTCTGCAGGGCCTGGTGCGGCAGAAGGAGCGGGCGCTGGAGGACGCACAGGCGGTGAGTGGGCAGGCGGCGGTGGGCAGCCCCCGGGCCCCTCCCGCGTCCGCAGGGCCACCCTGGCCTCCTGCTCACCACCTCCCGTGCCCACGCAGGTGAACGAACAGCTGTCCGGTGAGCGGAGCAGCCTGGCCCAGGTGATCCGCCAGGAGTTCGCCGACCGCCTGGCAGCCTCTGAGCAGGAGACGCGGCAGGTCAAGGCGGAGCTGGCCGAGCTGCAGGCCCGCCAGCGGCTGGAGCTGGAGGACGTGCACCAGAGGTGGGCAGCTGGGCGGTGTGGACAGAGACGGGGCACGGCGGGGTGGGCAGGACGCGGCTGAGGAAGGCTGGTGAGTGGGGGACACCCCGGCTCCTTTCGGGCAATACAAAGACACCCATGGACAGAGGCGGGTGTGGGCTCCACGCTGGCGGCCCAGGAAGCCTGGGGCTGTTCCCCTCCGAGCAGCACCTCGTCTGGGGCATCAGGCTCCCAGCAGGCCTGGCTCTGCCCTCTCCCCAGGACCGCCCCGGTGCGTCTGATCAGGGCCCATGTGGGTTCTCCAGGGAGGTGGCTCCCAGGGCCCCTGTGGCCTGGGTGGGTGGGTACCATGCAGAAGGTTTGAGGTGCTGTGAGGTTAACGACGAGCCCCCGTCCCCAGGGATCCCCAGCCTTCCACGCAGCCCCCCAGGGGCTCTGAGAGGCAGGTGTGGGTCAGGGCTGCGCACGCCGTCCTGGCGCTAGGCCTCCCTGCTATGTGCCGGGCTCCTTGCTCCGGTAGCCACTCTGGTTCCGCGGGGCCAGCCAGGCCGCCGTGGGGCTGCGGTCAGCACCCTGGTCTGGGATGCGGGGCGGGGGCCGCGTGGAAGCCCACCGTGTGCTGCCTGCAGGGTGAAGGTGGCCCTGGCGAAGAAGGAGGAAGCTGTGAACAGCCTCCGGAAGCAGCACGAGGCCGCGGTGAGGCGGGCCCAGCACCTGGAGGAGCTGCTCGAGCGGCACCAGCCGCCGCTGCAGAGCGCCAAGTGACACCAGTGACGCCGGCTGGGGCGGGCGGGGGACAAGGGAGGCTGGGTGCTGGGCCCGGAGGCCGGCAGGGGCTGGATGCCAAGAGACAGGGTGGGAGCGACCCGCGCCTGCCCCTCCACAGAGCAGGTGCTCGGGACGCCTGCCGTCCTGGCGCCTGTGGCTGCGCTTTAACAGTAAAAAGACATCGCCTTTTAGTGTTTTGTGACCTGACTTGTCACTCTCCTGGGCCGGAGACTGCCCGAGGGCCCACACAGAGCAGCCAGGCGTGGGTCTCTGCCTCCCTCCCTCTCTCCTGCAGCCTGTCCAGGAAATGGCGAGACCCTGCCAGCAGCCCCTCCACGCACAGCCCAACGCCTACACCGTGTTCCCTGCCTCGCCCTGCAGCCCCAGTACTTGGGCTCCAGTCCCCGAGCACAGAGAACGGCCCTTTGTTCCCGGCCTGGCGCGGGAGGCGCTCCAAGGGCCCCATTCCAGCCCTGCAGGTGCTCAGAGCCCAGGGGCTGCCATGGTGCCCCCCGTGGCTGGAGTCTGGGGAGACTCCGGGGGGAGCAGACAGCCCTCTTGTCCCCACCATCGAGTTGTGACAGCCTGGAGCCTTCCAGAAAGGGGGACGGACAGGCCACACTGCGGGCGGGGGCCCTGAGCATCCTCAGAAAGTCCCAGGCCGGGGAGGCTGTGAGAGGGAAGGCAGCTCTCCCCACCCACCGCTGCCCTGGCCCCGGGTGCCCACTGCTCACAGCCAGCCTGGAGCTCCCCCGCACATGGCACTGTGTGCGTGGAACCTGCCCAGGGTCCTTGGGGAGAAAAAGTGAGTGCCCGCTGGAAGGGAGGGGTCTGCTGAGGGCTGTGGGCCCCCGCGGGGATGGTGCGCTCACGGCCGGGCATCCCCCACCTGCGGCAGGTGTGGGACGCTCCCTAGCACAAGGCGCAGCTGCCGCAGCTCTGCCTGGGTCCTGGGAAGACGTGCAAGTGTGCGTGGGCCAGGCATGAGTCTGGCACAGGCTGGCGCAGCAACTGCTGGGCCTTTCCTGGTTTGCAGACACAGCCGTGCCCGTGCTGAGATGACACACACACCAGGGACAAACGGTGCCCGGTGTAGACAGGAACAAGGCTGGTCCCAGGGCTCCCCAGGGTCACCGTGAGCCAGGCTCGTCTCATGGAAGCCGCTGACGTAAGCCAAGGATGGTGGCAGCAACGCTTCACCAGGCCCGAGCTGAGGGAGTGTCGCGGTGGCCTCACCACAGCCGTGCGGACAGGGACGTTGACTGTGGGGAGGGCGCTGATAGGGGTGACCCATGCAGCTGGGCTTCTGCGGGGCGGAGGTTCCAACCCAGTTGCAGTTCACCTGCAACTGCGCTCAACTGACCGTAGCTCAGGAGACCTGGCGCCATCCTGGGAGGCTGCTCTCGCTTGAGGGGTTTCAGGATGACCCAAGGCCAGAGTGCTGGTGGCAGGCACCCAGCGGGTCCCCTGAGCCACAAGTGCAGGGCATCAGCAGGCGTGAGTCCTGGGTGTGGTCACGCGCTGTCTTACCCGCCACAAGGCCAGGGAGGGCTGAAGTCGTCGTTTACATGCACCTGAGGCAGCTGGGCAGGAGCTCTCCCTGCCAGCCTCCGTGTCACCAGCCCTGTCCAGCCTTGGTTTCCTCATCTGGGCAGGAGCTTCGGGGCTGCGTGCTTTTCCTTCTGTGCAGAGCCGATTCTCCCAGGACCTGAGGCCAGAGCCCCACAGGGAGTGGGACCAGCAGGCCATGCTGGTCTCCCGTGGGCCCCGGGCTGGACCCCTCTGACTGGCCCGGCGAGCACTGCGCTTCCCAAGTCTTACAGGAAGCAGGCACCGGCCGATGGCTGGGTCAGTGGCTTCCTCAGGGCTCCCGACATCCTCCCAGGCCTGACCCCTCCGGTGGGAGAGCCCGCAGGCCTGGCAAGGGCTTGAGGGAGGAAGGGGCTGCCTCAGTCGCCCACCGCACTCCCGGCCCTGCCCGTCTCTGCAGCTTTGCCATGGAGCCCCATTCCCCTGGCCTGCAGCCCACCCTGCACCTTGCTGTCCCAGGAGCCAGTCCCATGTCCCAGGAGAGGGAAGGGGCTGGATGCCAGGCAGGAGGGGCGGGAGCGGGCTCTGGGGGGGCTGCGGGAGCTGTCCGGAGCCAAACCAGGGGAAATGGGTTTTCTGCTCTGGCAACGTTTGGATGTTCTAGCCAAAAAAAGTATTTTCATCTGAAGCGCTGTTAGGCGTTGCTAGGGGCAAGTGGCTTTCAGTTACTGAACTAAGGTATTTTTGCAAATGCGGTAGTCAGCAGAGGAAGGACAGACAGTTGGGTGACTTCTGCAGAGATAGGAGGGGATGCTTCTCAGGGGCAGGAAGTGGGCGTGGGGACAGTCTGGCGCCCAGCACACCCATGGACAGGCAGTCCTCTCGGTTGGTTGTGGCTGGTTGTTCGCTTGTTCCCTCCCTCATGCCTGAGCCCCTCACCCCTTCGTTCCTGGGAACGTGTAGAGGGCTTTGTACACCACTACACTCTGCTATCCTCCGATCTCTTTATTGTTTTTTTAATTCAAGTTTTAGTTGTCACGTACGATAAAGATAATTAGCTTTTGACAGTAAGGGGCTGAGGCTGTGTGTTATTCCTGGGTCTCTGTCTTGCCCACAAGCCACGTGGCAGCATCTCACGTGTCCTGGCTAGTGAGAAACCTGTCCCCTAGAGGCTGGCACGTTGGGGTCCTGTCTACCAGGCTGCTTCACCTGGACAGGTGTGCCCAGGGGAGGGGGCTGAGTCACCATTCCTACTCCCTGGGGTGGGGGCAGGGGTGCCTCTGTGTAGCTATTAGGGCCCAGCCCCCCAGGTCTCACTCGTTGCCCCCTTGGCCTTCCAGGTCTTCTGCTACAGGTAGCTCTAGCACCTCGTACATGACAGAACAAGGCTGGGCATCACCCAGCAGGACACTGTGGGGCTCACATGGGCATGGGGGCATCTCCGCACCAGGGTGGGGGGGTGCCCGAGTCCCTTCCCCGTCCAAGCTGTTGCGCTGTAGGTGCATTGGAGGTCTCTGGCCCCCCAGTGAGGAGAGGGCTCCCAGGGAGGGGCCAGACTCAAGAAGCACAAGTAGACTCTGCCTGGGGTTCCTTCCCTGTCCCCCAGCTTGTTGCCCTCATGGGCTCCACCCTCTCCCCAGCAGAGCTTCTGACCCATGGCCCTCCTTTGAGACAAGTGACAGAATCAAAGAAATCACCTAAGTCCCCGCTTACGCCAGGCTTAGAGCTGGGGGTGCAGCTGCGAGCAAACCAGAGCAGACCCTGCCCCAAGGGGCTTCACACTCAGAATTCCGCCCCTGTTGCCCTCTCTTTTCTTTGAGTTTAACTTTCTGTTCTTTTTCTAACTTTGGGGGATACTCAGGTCATTGATTGCAGCCCTTTTTCAAGTCTATGCCTTTAAGACTATGAATTTCCCTCAAAGCACAACTTGAGCTATACCCACAAGTTTAGTTATGTTGTCTTTTCATGATTCTGAGGTTCAAAATGTTTTCTAATTTCCACAGTGGTTTCTTTGAACCATGGACTGTTTAGCACCACATTGCTTTGCTTTTCTTTTTGTTTTTAATTTCTCACTTAGCTTCCCTGTGGTCACAGAATAGGTTCCATATTATTTCACTCCTTTGACTTGATGGAGACTTGCTTTACGACCCAGCAGTTGGTCAATTTTGATAAATGTGACGTCTGTGTATTTAAAAGAACATGTGTTCTGCAGTGTTGGATGCGGGGTTGTGTCTTTACCAACCAGGCCCGGCTGGTCCATTGTCCAAAGAGACCAGCCCACTGGTCTCTTTCCTGCCACCTCTGTCAGCGCGTGGGGGTGGGATGCTGCAATCTCCCACTGTGACCGTGCTCCTCTCTTCTCACTCTCCTGTGCTCGATCCCGTGTCACGCATGCTGAGGGCTGGGATGCACGCAGAGTGAGAGCTGGCTGTCTCCCTGCGTCGCTAGGAACCTCTGTGAGCCGCGTGCCCTGCGGCGGTGCTTCCTGCCTTCACGCCCCCTCGTCCCATGGTTGAGCCGTGCCAGCTTCTCTCCATAGCGTTTGCACAGCCTGTGTTTGCCCTTCTTCCTTCCGACCTTTCTATGGCCTCGTGTTGGAGCACAGCGTGAAGGCAGCCACGGACGACTCGAGAACCTGGCTTGGCCTGCATCACGCTGGGTTTGGCCCGAGGGCAGTGGTTTGCTGACCCCTGACTCGGGGGCTTTGCTCTGGCTGGCAGTCAGGGCAGGGATGGGCCGGCCGTGAGTGTGGACTACAGTCCGCGAGGACCGGTCGGGCTGTCCCCCGGCTGTCCCCCTGCCGGGCAGCCCCACAGAAGCTGCAGCTGAGCCCCTGCTCCCTGACAGGCCCTGAACACGCGTGAGACTGCGGGACCCCCCTCAGCCGCCCGGTCTCTCAGCTGCCGCTACTGGCCGGCAGGTGCCTGGGGAGGAAACCTGGGCCACCACACGCTCGCCTCGGGGGGCTTCCCTGCTCTGGGGTCTCAGAAGCCCACACCTCGATGCCCTCCTTGCTGACAGTAAACACAGTAAGTACTGAGTGTCGCAGAGCCTCAGGGGTGAGGCGTGCTTTGGGGAAGAGACCGGGTCGAGGGGAATGTGGGCGCCCAGCAAGGCGCGTGTGCTGTGAACGGCGGGGCTGCGCCATTCACCAGGCGCCGGGCCCCAGGCCGCAGTCAGCTGAGCAGAGGCCCCGGGGCGGGCGGGGTGGTGCGGGGCTAAGGATTAGTGTGGGGCCACGTGGCTGCAGGGGGACGTTGGGGAGGTGTCTGGGATCAGAGTGAGCGTCAGGAACCAGGTGTGTAGGGTTCTGGGGGCTTGAGGAGCATCCCCAGAGGGTTCTGGGAGGAATGACGTCCAACTCCTGTTTGAAAAGTGGGCATCTTCCCTTCAGGGGTGAGCGGGACTCTGGCTCCCCCCACCTTCAGTTCCCCCATCCTGAGGGCCTGGAGTCCCTCATGGTGCCCCATGTGGACAGGGGCTGGGGAGGGGCCCCGGGCAGAGTGGGAGCTGCCAGCACACAGGTGGTGCTTAAAGCCACGAGATAGGGGAGCCCACAGATGGGGCCTTGG